TGGTTTCAAGGAAAATGAACAAGTTGGTGTACAAATGAGTACTTATTAAGTAATAACGCATCGATAGACTAATTTGTATCTTCGAAAGACCTACACGTAATCTACAATTGACTCAAACATATGTGCAAAGTTTAAGAGTTACATGCCTTTCATCAAGCCTTTCCAGTTCAAAACAATTTCACTGAAGTAAGCAAATAATACAAATTTGGTAGATAAAACTAGATTGCAGTCGACGTGCTCATACATGGTATCCTTCAGAACCACGTGTTTCTTATTACATCATGTGCGTTCAAAGCGAATTCACTAAAGTAAGCGTAGAAACATCATGCGGGGAAATCACGAGTCGTTTCCGTCAGTCTATCTCTAGTTCAAGCCTCGTTGTTTAGATTTACTATTTGCTTTTGTCCTATATTTGTCCAGATGTCGCCGAGGCAGGGGTGGGGACAAAAAAAGTATACAACGATGCAAAGGGAAGTGTGTGGGAGATGCGCCTCAAACCGGGTGAGACGGCTCCGTTACACGAACACCACTCGGATTACTGTTTCTACGTGGTCACCGGAAGTACGTCGTCATTATCAAACACCCCCCCTAACCAGAATCGCTTTTTATTTTCAGGCACACTTGTTTGTTGTCAGCCATACATCTTTATTAATATATGCAATCTTTGTTATGAGACATACCATTTTTTTCCCAGGTTGTTGTGAGATACACTTTCTTTTTATCGGGCATATTTAATTATTGTAAGGAGTATGTTTACCCACTTTGTTGGCCTTGGCTCTAAGGCGGTTTCCACCATCAAGTTTGTATTATTTTTCCGATGAGAAATAGTCGATAGATACCTAGCATATATTACTGTTGCCGATTGTTGTGATATATTAGATCTCCTCCAAAGTGTTAACATTTAAGGCATGCTTATGATTAGTTTCTTGCACTATTTACAACAGGTACATGGAAGTTTCAGACGCCGATGGTCGAGTCATTGATAAATTTGTCTTAAAGGCCGGTACCGCTAGCGGCTTCAAGGTGAGCTAACACGGTGCCAATATACAATATCAAGAGAGCAAAGAATACTTTATGAGCATTTTTTAGTGTATGCGCATAAAAAATTATGTGCGTCTGCTAACCTGGTGCTTCTTATGTTTGGTACATGGGTGCTCGTGTGTATACTGCTATTTGCTTATGGACAAACGCAGGTGTTTGATTACTTCAATGATTAGAACACAGGTGACCGCATATGCGCCTTTGTTCGTTTTTATTCAATATATAATCTATATTTACCAATAACTGTTATTTTCTGTATGATTGCATAGCTCAAAGGAAAGTATCTTGAGCCAGTAGACCAGTCCCAGGGTGTAGGGATGCGGGTACCCGCAGCGCACTCAGCCAAAAATGTGGGCGACACTGAATTTTACGAAGTTTTGTTCCAACATCCTCCGGACAATTGATGATGATGTGGCGTTCGTTGAAATTTAGAAAACCATTTTCACATGATGAATACACTATACTTTAAAGCCGATATCAAAGTTAATAAATTCTTGAAACGGCTTTACTATACACGAATCTTTGGACTTTGGGTAGGGCTTACTTCGCTCTACTATAAACTGACCACAAAACAGGGTCCGTTCACTCGACCTGCGGTACTAAGCGCAATCTACGGCCAATTTACAGTTGGACTATACATACTACTACAAAATAAACATATTCCAAATTACACCTACACATTCATGATAACATGTACATGTTTTATAAAAACTAATAAAAACAAATCAAAATACACTGACAGGCAGAGACAGAGACAGAGACATGTG